ATCTTAAAACAATTCAGTGCATTTTTCCTTTAAACACCCCAGGTATGCGTGAATATACCCTTTTTTCATTTATTGTTGTCTAGGAGTAAAGATGAAATCAAATATTCTTAGTTCCTTTTTCACTTGAATGTATATGGTTGTGATTCATTGGTAGTGATGATTCAGATTATTATTGTACTTTTTCTGCATAGTCTGTGCATCATAGGAGATGCTTTATGTAATATTTGTTTTATTAACATATAATTGTAGATAGTAATAGGTACAACGTGCTAGTACTACACATACACACAGTGTGCTCAGAACTCATCAGGGTGAGTCACAGTTCCCTCTTAGCTGTAATGTTCTTATGTTTGGAACCTTCCAGCTCTTTTCATCCTGATCTTCATGAGATATGTGGTAGGTTTTGGATGCCCTTTTACTGTTGCTTATAGGCAAATTTGATGTATTTCTGCTATCACTTTGCCAATATCGTGCTTTTAGAATTATAGAAAATTAGTAAAATCAAAGTAACTTCAGTTTTTCCCCATTCTCTTACTTCTTAATCTCAAACATTTTTTTCTGGCATATTCTCAGGAATCGATCGTACCACACATTATGGCAAAAGAGCAACCCAAAGATTTCACTGTTCTTTCTTGAATTTGATCTCTTGACCATTAAAGTCAGGTCATACAATAGAAAGGCTTGGGAAATATGCGTGACATTCTATAGTGCCATTACATTCACTGTTGGATGAGCGAGAGTTGGTATTCTTTAAGTTAAGGGACATTTGAGTACACAAACTGTCAATAGGCCTTAACATATATGACAGAATGCAGGAAGTCTGGTGGGGGTGCTATACAGGGTACAGTTAAGGGAGGGGTCTAAATATTAATATATATTGTATGAAATGCACAAAAATGCAATAAAAACATATACTAAAAAAAAGAATGGACCCAGATATGATCAAATGTCATACACTAAGGCTTAGCCTTATTAATGATTATCCCAAATGATTCATTGGTGGCAATGTGGACATGATTAAGCAACTCCCACTATTTCCAATGAAGAGAGACAGCACATCTTAAGAAGCAAACCCTGCAGTTTTGAAAGAACTGGTTACATCCAGACATCACAGATTCCAGAGCTGGTAACAATGAATGCTTCTGGTATCCTCTGTGGCACCTCATAGGTACCCCTCATCCATTCCTCAAGACCTTCAGGGGCAAGTGGCAGTTATCTAGGGTCAGATCATTCCAGGTGAGTGATCCCATAAAGATGCTTGGATTATTTTACTCTGGTATTTCATTTCTAGGTCATTGTGGCTTGGCAGTCTAGATAGGGCCCAGTCATTGTAGCTAAGGTTGGAAAGCCTGTGTATATACACCACTGAGAAACTGAACTGAGGCCTTACCTCCATAAAATAAGCAATTAGCTCAAATATGACTGTAATTATCTATGTTTACTTGTGCTGGTATAATAAGCTGATTTAATTCATCTCAAACTAATTATTCCATATCACAAAAATAACCCAAGAAGAACCTTTAACACACTGGATTCCATGAAGATAAGTTGGTGTCTTAGCTAGCATTCAATGTCAGCCTGATACCTCCAGAATCATCTGGAAAAGGAGTCTCAACTGAGAATTGTCTTGACTGGTAATTGATGCAGGACTCAGCACACTCGGTGGTACCATTTCCTGGGCAGGTGGTCCTGGCTGTGTAAAGAAAGCAGCTAAGAGCAAGACAATGAGCCAGCAAGCAGTAGTCATCCGTGTTCTTACCTAGGCTCTGGCCTCAAGTTCCTGACCTGACTTCCCTCAATGATGGATTGTGACCTGAAAGAATAAGCCAAATAACCCCTTCCTTCTGCAAGTTTCTTTTGGTCAGTGTGTTTTATCACAGTGGCAGAAAAGAGGAGTGAACAGTTGGAGATAATAAGGGACAACCAAGCGAACACAAGGTTTATGCTATCGTGCCATGAGTGACAAAATCCTCTGTCTCTGACCAGGGAATATCCTATTATCTTGCAGTATCACAAAATTAAAGCAATTTAACATGGTAATGTATATATAGGAGAAAATGTTATATCCTCACAATTCTTAAAAATTTGATATACTTTTATGTGTATGAGTGTTTTTTCTGCATGTATATAAGTGCACAGATGTCATGCAATGGCCACAGGCATCAGATCCCCAGGAACTTGAGTTTCAAATGGTTATTAGCTACCATGTAGGTTCTGGGAACTGAATTTGGGTCCTCTGCTAGAACAGCCAGTGCTCTTATGTGCTAAGCCATCTCTCTATCCCATCCTTCTCATTTTTGATAATCAAGGCCATGAGTTCTCAATCTACAGTAAGACAGAGTGACTTCTTGATGGTGTCCTTCTAAACACTGCAAAAATAGACAGCAAAGCAAGATTCAGTGTGGACACAGCAATGTGTTGGGAAAGTATCTTTATATCCTGGTGCATCAAAATAAACATGGACATAAAACTTTGGTGTTCTAGTAAATCCACAACAAAACAAGCAAAAAATTTAAAAAAGAATGCACCATCACAGGATTTTCAGGTACTGTTTGACTATGTGCTTGTCCTGAAAAGTTCCATAAACCTCAAAAGTTATCTTTCTAGTAAACCTCACTAGACAATGATTTTTCTTTAATTTTTGAGAATTTTAAATAGAATACAGTTGTCTTAAAAATCTTATCAACAGGAACTGGAGATATGGCTCAGCAATAAAAGTATTGACTGCTCTTGCAGAGGACCTGGATTCAAAACTCAATACCCACCTAGTGGCTAACAAGCATCTGTAATTCCAGTTCCAGGGTATCTGATACCCTCGTCTGACCTCTGTGGGCACTGCACGACATGGGTGCAGTTACACACATGCAGGCAATATGCTCATACATATAAAATAAAAATCATAAATAAAATATTTTTTTAAAAGAAATCTTGGCCAGGCATGGTGGCATATACCTTTAATCACAGCAGTCTGGAGGCAGAGGCTGGCAGACCTCTGTGAGTTCAAGGCCAGCCTGGTCTACATAGTGAGTTCCAAGCCAGCGGGGCTACAGAGAGACCCTGTCTCAAGAAAAAAAAAAGGGGGGGGAGAAAAAAGAAATCTTGTCAACAAAATATATTAAAAAATTCATCTTTGTGTGGGAGCAAACATCTAAGTAATAAAGCGTGCATGTTTTGAAGAAAATGTTTTGGATTGTCACAGATCAGTTCAACAGCCTAAGGCAACCAATCGTCATTTTTTAATTAGCTGCTCCTGGCTCCGTATTTGACTTCTTCCTATTTGTCATATGAAAAGACAATATGTGCATAGTAAGTGGTCTTATGTCACAGAGACTTGAATTTCATTTAACTTTTTCTGACCACAAATTGTCATAAAGTGTGGTTGCTGTGATAGTAAATCTTGATTGTCAGATTAATAGGGTTTAGAATCTCCATGAAAACAATTCTCTGGGCATGTCTGTGAGGAGCTTTCGACATTAGGTTAATTGAGGTGGGAAGAGCCACACTACATGTGGGCAGCAGCAGTCCATGGGCTGGGGTCCTGCACTGAATAAATATGAAAACACGAGCAAAGTACAAACTTCCGTCATTCTCTGCTTCCTGACTGTGGATGCAATGTGACAGTCTGCCTTGAACTCCTGCATGATGGGTCCTCTCCATCTGGGAGTTAAAATAAACCTTTCTGTAACTTGCTTTTGTTAGGTATTCTGCTGCAGCAATGAGAAGAGTAACTAATACAGATGGGTTGCTGTTGGTGAGTGGAATGAACATTTATACGTTATCAAACTGTAGAGAAAACCAAGCCCACATGACTCACTGCTGACACTTACCAGATTTTGGATATGTGACTATGAAGACATCATCATCTCTAATTTTAAAATCTTCCATATTTTCTATTATATTCATTTTAACCAAAGATTTTTCAAAATTATAGCCTTTCAAATTAAATAAATATTCATGCGTGTTATCCATAATTATTCACCTAAAAGTAAAAACATAACATTCTTTTCAAGTTCTTGGTATTTTATTTTATTTTTTTAAATATTTTATTGAATTTTTGTATATTTCAAACAGAAATTCATCTTTATACCCCCTTTTTTTTGGCACCCTCCCATAACGCCCAACACCACCACTAGAGTTCATGCATTCTGTCATTTATGTTAAGGCCTATCATGTAAAGTTAGTGTTCCCAGATGTCTCTCAGTGCAAGGTCATTCACTTGGATCTAGTCAGCCTATCTAGGGTCCCTTCCATTAAGATCAGCTCTTCCTCACCCAGCAATAATCAGCTGCCAATAATTCTTTGACTAAGATTGGGACCTGCTGTTCATTTCCACAGTTCTATGCTGGGTTTTTGTCTGCTTAAGTTTGCATGGATCTTGTACATGCTGACATCATTGCTGTAGGTTTGTATGAGAGGGGTCCCAGGCACCTGTAGGACTACTTCTCTATGGTCGTGCACCCCCATCCTGAAGTTCTTGGTATTTTATAACATGAATACTTATTGAGTCATTTATTAAGTACCATTTGAAATGTCTCCTACATGTTAATATTTATAACAAATATGTTACATTTGATATATTATTTAAATATAATCTAACATCACTACACTTTTATCATTACCATATGAAATATGAGGAAACAAAGATAATAAGAAGATTAAAAAAAGATTGTCCTATAATCCCATGTTGGAAAGATGATCATAATTCTAAACATACGGATGAGGAAATTTGGGAATACAGAATGTAGCCAAGCTATTGAAGGCTCTCCATCTAGCCACGCTAGGAAGATCTGACAACAAACAACTTGGGAATTCAGTCCATGATTACATCTTAGAGTTCCTTTGTATATGTGTTTTTTTATCCATCATACTTTTGTAATGGAACTAAGAAATTTCTTAAGGAATATGCATCTAGCGTCTCCTTTTCGTAAAGCATGAATGATCTGCTCTCTCTGAATGGAGCTTCAGAGATTTTGCATTTGAGAGGCTATTTCTAATGAATAACAGAAAACGTTTATCTGAATAAAACCCATGGTTTTACTTTAGATATGTTGCTATGGTGCAGTCACAAGATATTGCATGAATATGTTCATAATGATAGTGTAGATTCCAACAGAAGACATTAAAATCAGAAATCTGCTACAACCCCCTTTAAAATATTAAGATGCACAGTAATAGGTTTCCTTATGGCATTTTCATACATAGGGTGGTTGTCTGCCACCCCCACCACTCCTGTCTCCCTGTCCCTGTCCCTGTCCATCTCCACTCTTGGTACTCTACTTTCCCTTTTCATAACACACTTGTTCTGCTATCCTCCAAACCTGTCTTCCCTAAGGCTCTTTCCCCTCTTATCATCCCTTCCTACTTTCATGACCATTATTCACACCCACTCCCATATAACTATACATATATAAAATCGGAAACCAGGATCTCCATATGAGAGAAAACGTATGGTGTTTGCCTGTGTGAGCCTGGGTTACCTCACTTAATACAGTATTCTCCGGATCCATCACCATCTTCACAATCCCGGATCTATCTTGGGCTGCTTAGCTTGCACTCTGGAGTAACCTAATGAAATAGTCAGAACCTCGCCCATTTGACCACCATCTCCACACTCGAGGCATAGCTGTGATTGGCCAGTTCATACACAAGATCAGTCTGGAATCATCCATGTCTTCAAATGAAAAATCAACTAAATCTTCATACCTGATCTGAAATCAACTAAGCTAGGAGAACAGCAAAAACAGAACCAAACTGCTCTCAACAAAGGAGGGCTAGAATTTCATACAGACACTCCGTCAACAAAAGAAGTCAGTGTGCCCAGCTCACGTTTTCCTGCAGAGTCCATACTTGCATTTTCTTTCTAGCGGAATAAAATTCCATTGTATTTTGCACTACATTGTCATTACCCATTCATCAGTAGATTACTATCAAGCTGATTCCATTTCCTTGCTATTGTGAATGGAGTATCAATAAACATGTGTCATAGCAGCAGTAAAGGCCCATTAAAGGAAAAAAATTTTCTTCTGGTCAAGAGGATGAAATTTCTTGTCTGGGTGTGGCTGGGCAGATCAATGGTCTGGCTAAGGGACCACCTCTAGAAAGGCAGGTTAACCTTCAGGCACGTTAAAGAGATGGGAAGAATAACTAGTCTTTGATGAGATAATGTACTTTTCCTTTGCAGAATTCCCTTCCCTCTAGTAGAATCCCTACAAGCTGCCATGAGCGTCTCTTGGGTCTGCCTGTATTTTGGAATCATTACTTTTCTTTTGTCTTCTTTTCTGCATCTTACTTTTCAATGATGGCCAGATGCAAGGACGATTTCTTTGGCACTTTGGGCTTTTTCACTCTTTCTCTAAATCTCCCCTCCTGCCATTTGGCTCCTTGTCTACCATGGGACTCACCTCCATGCCAGCTTAATACAAAGGGCCTGGTGCTCTCTTCCTCCTCTCCATCTCCCTCTTCTGAGAAGCTGCTGGGAGTTACAGCTTGCCTGCCCTGGGGTTTTTCTTTTAAATGCTTATAAAACTGCCCTTCAGCTTCCATTTGAGTTTATTCTTAAAATCTTTTTATTAATGAGACTAAGAAGCCCAATAGGGGTCCCCAGTTTCTCTGGTAACATGTGTTAACTCTGGCCAGACTCCCCAAAATGTCTGGTAACATGCATGTGCAAATATCTCTGTGGTAAGATATAAAATTCCTTGGATATGTGTCCAAGAGTGGAGCTGGTTCAGATAATAGTTCATAATGTCACAGGTTAAACTCCCATCAACAGTAAATACATAGGGTTGTTCTTTCCCACATCTTCACCAGTGTTTGTTGTAATAAGGTAAAATGAAATAAAAATAGAAACAAGTGCAATACTGTTTGAATGTGCTGACGAATCTCCAGGAAATAATGTGAGGATAGATGGAGATCTGCCACCTGTGATGCAGGTGATGGTAGAAAAACACTAGTTTCAGTAGCAAAGAAAGCAACTTTGGAAAGCAAAATAGTCTGCTCCAGGCTCAGCTCCAATTAAGGATACCCTCCTCCAAGTGAAAGTGACACTGCTAAGGGTTGGAACCACAGCTCAAGACAAAGAGAAAGACTCAGAATATTTGCACTCTACTTTCAGTAGCGATGAATTTTAGAGGGGGGGGGGCAGAGAGCAAAAACTGCAAGTGGCAGCTGCACTGGCAGAGGATGGGGCTGTGCTAGGAAAATCCTCTTCTTAAACTCTAAAGGGAGGACTGAAAAAAATAGCCATTTTAAAAAGGCCCTTGCTGAGTTGGACATTCAGCAGCTCTAGAGGTATAGATCTCTTCCTCTAGGCGTAACCATGGGAATCCGGACAAAGTGTCATGGGACTGCACTCCAAAACTTGGTTTACAGAACACTTCTAGCTAGAGGAGGAAAAATGTTGCGTCAAATCAAGTGGAATACTGTGATATGAATATCTGGTCTAAGCAATAGCTTGCAGTGGACTGAGTAGATGCAGGCTTGGTACCTGTACCGATGCAACTGACTTTCAGGGAACAGAGGGCCATAATGGCCAGTTTATATTCAGGCAACATGATGTTAATGTAGATAAACAGCATGGACCAAAATGGCTAACGCTGGACAGGTGGTGGGGAATATGAATCAGCACAGAATGGATGTGTGGGAAACGTGAAAGTAAGTAGTGATTGTGCTTTTTAGTTTTTTGGTCAACTTGACTCAAACTAGAGTCACCTAGGAAAAAGAAACCCCATCTGAGGAATTACCATCATCAGACTGGCCACTGGGCATGTATATGGGGCTTTTCTTTATGTAATTGATGTAGGAGGGCCCAGCCCACTGCGGAAATTGCCATCCCTGGTTAGGTGGGCCTAGGCTGTCTAAAAAAAGTAACTAAGCAGGCAAGAGGAAACAAACTTATAAGCAGCTTTCCTCAGTTGGTGGACTATGACATGGAAGTATAAGAAGCCAAACACATACTTTCCTCCCCCATGTTGCTTTTGGTCAGTGTTTTAACCCAGCAGGAGAAAGCAATCTAGAACCACAGTAATCTGTTTTTAAACTATTCCTGGCAAAATACCCCCTTTGTGTAAACAAATGGCTTTGAAATCCGAGGCCTTGATCTTCGCCTTCTGCTTCACCGGCCTACCTATGTATATCTGTAGGCCTGTACGTCTACCTCCAAGTGACCTGTGTCCTGGTGATAAAGTATCTTGTCCTTTCATGGCTCCTTGCATCTCTTCAACCTCCTGGTCTCCCATGGCTCCCCATTTCCTTGGCATTTGAATTTGGACCTCACAGGAGCATATAAAAATTCTGTGTCTTCTAATATATAATTTCAGGTTAGTCGGCCAGTTTTGTCCTTGCTTGTCCTCTTTCTCCCTTTGTTTTGCTTTGATAGTCTTTATTTTAAAAACGGGAGGGCTCTGCTTCAGCATTGTAAATGCTGGGATTATTTTAGGTTATCTGAATGCATTTGTTCACTTCTTCCTATTTGCATTTTACCTTTAGCTGGTGCTAATTTAAACTCCTTCCTCATATTTTTTGGGCAGTCTTTCTGAGACGGGGTCTCCCTGTAGCCCCAGTTGGCCTGGAACTCGCTATGTAGGCGAGGCTGGCCTTGAAATAACAGAGATCCACCTGCCTCTGCCTCCCAAGTGCTGGGATTAGATGTGTGTGCCACCACGCCCAGCTGCTCCCCAATTTTTTTACTTTCCCCTCTATTATGTTTTTCTGTTGTTCATATAGTAATTGCTTTGCTTATTTCCTTTGCATTCCTACTCTTAGTCACTGGTCTAGTATACACTGTATTCTAGACTACTTATTGTTTATTCAGCCTTAATAATTGGAGTTGAATGGGTTAATTGATTTAATTACTTTTTTCTGTATTCTCATTGTGGGTCTATCAATCTGGTGTGTCTATTTCTGTAGTTAGTGTCCTATTCTTGGAGGAGAGCTGAAGATCAAGTTCAGGGCTCTGAAAGACATGGGCTGAAGTTTAAC